TGTCATGGTCATATATTTTACTTTTATGTAGGTTCTAAACCCCACACTATATGGTTAATTTTTAAAAATTTTTAAAACTTTTTCTTTTATTCATATGTGCATACAATGTTTGGGTCATTTCTCTCCCCTTCCCCCCATCCCCTCCCTCTCCCCCCAACCCCCTCGCTACCAGGTAGAAACTATTTTGCCCTTATCTCTAATTTTGTTGAAGAGAGAGTATAAACAATAATAGGAAGGACCAAGGGATTTTGCTAGTTGAGATAAGGATAGCTATACAGGGAGTTGACTTGCATTGCTTTCCGGTACATGTGTGTTACCTTCTAATATATTTTTTTTAAGTAGCCAATTATCTTTTAGAGAGATTTAAATAAGAATCATATACAGACTCCTGCAGTTACCATTTTCAGTGTTCTTTCATTTCTTTGTGTCTATCCAGGTTTCTATCTGGCATCATTTCTGAAGGGCTTCCTTTAACATTTTTTGTATAGTTCTGCTGGTTATGAATTCTTTCTCTATCTATCTTAAAACGTTTTATTTGACGTTTGTTTTTGAAAGATTTTTGTGACATACAAGATTCTAGACAGTGTGTTTTTTTTTCCTTTCAGTACTGGAGATGTTGCTTCAGTGTTTTCTTTCTTATGAGAATGGTTTCTGAGTGAATTGTTTCTGATGAGAAATTGGCTGTCACTCTTACTTTTGTACTTTTTTATGTGCCATGTCATTTTTCTCTGACTGCTTTTCAGATTTTCTCTTCATCTCCGATTCTGAACAATTTAAGTATGATGTGCCTTGGTGTGGTTTTCTTGAATCTGTGGATTTACAGTTTTTATTAATTTTGGGAAAGAATGGACCATTGTTTCTCCTGTTTCCCTCTCTTTTTCCTTTCTTTTAGGAACTCTCTTTTAGGAACAGCTCACTGATGCTTTGTTCATTTTTAAAGAAATTTCTCTCAAGTTTCTATTGCTATGACTTCATTATTTGTTAATGTTTTCTTTTGCAGTTTCTATTCTGACAATGTACTTTTCATCTCTAGAAATTTGATTTTGGTCTCCTTTTTATATATCCTTTGTCTCCTATTTAACTTACTGAACATGTGGAATGCAGTTATATTAATTCTAACATCTGTGCCAGATTGATTTTGATTGATTGATACTCTCCTTATTATGGGTAATATTTTCTTGCTTTGCATGGCTGGTAATTTCTTTTTTCCTTTATTATTTTTTAAAATTTGAGACAGGGTCTTGTTGGCCTTTAAGTCTCCAGTGCTGGGATTACAGGCACCTACTACTATATCCAACTACGTCTGATAATTTCTCACTGGCTGCTAGGCTTTGTGAAATTTACTTTATTAGGCCCAGGATATTTTTTTTATTCTTCTACATCTTCAGCTTTGATTAGAGATAGATTGCTTTTAGGTTCCTTATCAGGACTGAAACAGTGCTCAGTCCTCCCCAACAGGTGGCAAAACCCAGAAGATTCTGTATACCCTACCCAAAGCCCTGTGAATCCAGAGGTTTTTCCATCTTGCTAGTGGGAATTAGCACTATTACCCATCCTGAGTGAGCAGTAGACGCTGTTAATCTTCTGGGTGGCTCTTTCCCTGGCCTTGGTAGTGCCTTGTATGCATGTGCTTATTACTCCCCTAAATGCCTGAGGTGTATCCTCCACAGGTCTCAAGTTCTCTGTGTCCTGCCAACTCTGGCAGCCTTGGTTTCCCTGGACTTTCAACTTTATTCCCTCTACTCATGGAGCCCTCTGTGCTCTACATGAGTTTCCCCTGTTCTGTGGCCTGAAAGCACTCAGTGCAGTATGCTGGAGCAATCGGAGGGCTTACCTCATTTGCTTCCTGTCTTACAGAAATCACTGTCCTTCCTTGCCCCATGTTTAGCGTCTTGAAAACTATGGTTTCATATATTTTGCCCATTTTTTGGTTACTTAAGGCAGGAGGGTAAATCTGGGTCCTGCCTCTCCTTGTCAGGAAGCAGAAGTCTCAATCTTTGTATATTCTAGGAAGTACAAAAATGGTATGATGGGCACAGAAGAGAAAAGGGTAAGGAGGGATTGAATAAGAGAAAAGAGTGTGAATCCTTTAAGTTATGTTATGGTAAGGACTTGGATTCATTGAAATGATAATCAGAAGTGTTTTGAGTGAAGGAGTAACAGGATCTAAATTGTTTTAGAGTACTTGCTCTGACTGCTGTGTGGAGGAGTCACCTCTTCTGGAGGAGAGGTGATGAAGATATGGTCTGGGTAATACTGTATTCTGAATATAATCCTTTATTAGGTGGTGACACTGATTGTGGAGGGCTCTCACACCCTTGGAAGGGCTACAGTTGTGAATTGTGTACATTAGAACTTTAGGTACCACTCTGGGTAAAACCTGCTGTATCCTGTTCTCTTGCTAGCTTCTCTGTACCAAAGTTCTCCAGGAAACTTTTAGCCTATTTGACCGTTAACCCTTCTTTGTGCATGGGATTCCTGGTCTCTGAACCCCTAATTTGGTTTGGGGGATCCCTTAGCTTAATCTCTTTCCCCTTCCAGACTGAATCCCTTGGAATCAGCACTCTGCCCAATCTAACTGTCTCCTGGGCCTCCATGAGTGCTAGAGGTTGAACTCTGAAAGTGTCTTGAAATCTCTCTGAGGATATGGGTAGAGGCGCCACCTATGTTTCTTTTGCTTTCCCTTCTGGAGACCCTTTTGTTCCTTTCGGGGCTTGACCCCATTGTCCTTTGCAGAAGTGAGACACCTCAGTTATTCACTGTGTTGCCGGAGAAGAGAACAGCCACCGTTGGGGGAGCCATGATGGGATCCACCCACATTTATGACATGTCCACAGTGAGTGCTTGAAGGAAGCTACTTTGGGAGGCTGGGAAAGGGGTCAGAGTTAGTGCCTCTGAGATTCTTTGGAGATACTAGGCTCTGATCTCTCTTCCAGGTTATGAGCCGGAAGGGCCCAGCCCCTGAGCTGCAAGGTGTGGAAGTGGCCTTGGCACCTGAGGAGCTGGAGCTGGACCCTATGGCCATGACTCAAAAGTATGAGGAGCATGTTCGGGAGCAGCAGGCACAAGTGGAGAAGGAAGACTTTAGTGACATGGTGGCTGAGCATGCTGCCAAACAGAAGGTGAGAGAGAGCTCCCTGGGAACCAGGAGAGAGAGCCTAGTAGGTTCTGCCTTTTGCAGCAGAGCTGGGCCCTCTAGTGGCCAGAGTGAGGCTGAACTCATTTTCTGCTGCCCTGGCTTCCTTAATGTTGGAAACCATAGAAATTCTCCAGTTGGCTGCCCTCTTTAAGGACATGACACTAGGGAGGGAAAGGAGCTAGTCCAAGTGTGAGAGGGAGGTGGGAACAGAATCCAGATTCAGTGCTTTTTCCATGACTCTGTCAGTGTTAGGTTACCCCTCTTGTTTGGGGGTTGGAGTTTAACTTGTAATAACCTGTTTTTCTTTTCTCTCTCCTATAGCAAAAGAAGCGGAAAGCTCAGCCCCAGGACAGCCGTGGGGGCAGCAAGAAATACAAGGAGTTCAAGTTTTAGGTCCTCACACACAGTCAGCTTTCCTTTAGGCCTTTTGTCTGGATGCCTGGGCTTCATTTGTGGGTATGCAAGAGCCAGCTCTCCTGCACTTCCCAAGGGCTTGTCATTTCATGTTCTTATTTTAGACCTGTTTTGTAAATAAAGCTGTTTCCCAAGGAAAGAGATGAATATGTAACACTCTTGATCCTCCCTATTTCCTTTTAGCCCCATCTGCAGAAGCACTAAAATAACATCTTCCTATAACCACTAGGCTGCTCCAGTGACCAGGGGCAGGTACTTGGACCAAATGTTGCAGTCGAGACCTGGTGAAGGCAAAGCTGTGCTGAAATTGTGGATGATTTACCATCCCCACCACCTCTGTAGAAAGGCTTTAGGGGAAATCTCTCAAGGTCTGCTTTGACCTTACTACTTTGTCCTTGGGGAATAAAAATAGCCAGCTTAGCACTGTGGCTAGAGTGGGGGAAGTAACAGTGGGCTGGGGAAGTAGGCCAGGTCAGTCCTTCCTAATTGACTTTGTGGCAGAAAGACCAAGTCCTTACCTGAGAGGGAACATAGTTCAAAAATCTAAATTGTTCTGTGTCCCTGCTAACCCCGGGGTTCAACCAACATCAGTACTGGGTGTGTGTGTGTAAGGGTGTGTGTGTGTGTAAGGGGCTTTGGGGCTTTCCCCAGGTTCCCCTGGTCCTGACAAGTCTTGCTTAGATTAGGTTGAACCACTGGATCCCACAGCATTTGCTGAACACAGGGGAGAGAAAATAGGTGTGGGTGTAGGGAGGTACTGGAGGCTTCAAGATGGTTTCTGGAGCGGTGGAGGAGTGGGAATTTGGCAGCTGAGCTAGGCCTTGGGAGGAGCAGAATTTTAGAAATTAAGAAAACACTGAGGCACTCTGGGACTCTGTGATGAAGGCTTTTGGGGGAGGGGATCGGTGTAAAGAAGAGAAAGGTTGGCTGTGGACGTGCCAGAGCCCCTGCCTATCCTCAGGAACTTCCCAGCTCACAGGCCCATGGAGGTGGCTGGCTGGTGGTTCACCGTCCCTTCTTTGCTGGTCTGGGCGAAAAAAAACCCCTGCATCGCAGAGCGGAGGTCGGGGCGGTGGGTGAGCCCCTCCTTGGCACGCGTGGCCGTGCAGACTCGGTCTCCACTCCGAGCTCTACAGATTCTGGGGGCCAAGCGCGCTCCCGCGACAGTCCCCCTCCCGGCCGGGGCCGCGCCCCGGAAAGCGGGGTTTCCGCCCGCGGGTATGCGGCGGCCGAGTGGGGGAGGGGAAAAGGGAGCCGGCGGGCAGCTACCGGCGCAGGCGATTCGAGGGAAGGCCGGCCAGCATCCGTCGGCAGCAGCCCCCTCCCACAAGCTGCAGGGAAGCGCGCCCACAGGCCGCCGGGCGCGAGCGCGAGCCTGGGCCCCGCCCCTTGGCGCCCGGGGCTGGGTGGGGCCGCGAGCCGGGGCTCCCCGCCCTCTTCCCGGACACGCCCACCCAGTGTCTCTGCCGCGCGGGCCGCAACAGGCAGTGTGGCGGGCGAGCGCGAGGACCGCGCGCCGTGAGGCCCCGCGCGTGCGTGCAGACTTGCTGGCGGCTCGCGCTTCGCCGGGCGGGCTGAAGAGACACGCTGAGCCCCCGCTGCCGCCGCCGCCGCCGCGGGGGAAGCCCGGGAGCCTCTCGGCGTCCCCTCGGTCTGCGTAAACCCCACGCCCCACGACCCGTGGCCGGGCCATGGCGGAACGCGGAGGGGCGGGCGGTGGTCCCGGAGGCGCTGGGGGCGGCAGCGGCCAGCGGGGCTCTGGGGTCGCCCAGTCCCCGCAGCAGCAGCCGCCGCAGCAGCAGCCGCCGCAGCAGCCGACGCCCCCCAAGCTGGCCCAGGCCACCTCGTCCTCCTCGTCCACCTCGGCGGCGGTTGCCTCCTCCTCGTCCTCGTCCACCTCCACCTCCATGGCCGTCGCGGTGGCCTCGGGCTCCGCGCCTCCCGGCGGCCCGGGGCCAGGCCGCACCCCCGCCCCGGTGCAGATGAACCTGTACGCCACCTGGGAGGTGGACCGGAGCTCGTCCAGCTGCGTGCCCAGGTGAGCGGCGGGCGGGAAAGACCTGGAGCCTGGGGGAGGGGGTGACGGCGCCCGCAGGGCTGGCTCTGTGACAGGCCCCTACCTTCTCTGTCCCAGCCCCATCACTCAAGGGGGTGACCCCCACCCCAGAAACTCCCAGACTCTCCCCTGCTGTCCCCGGCCTGGCCTGGCAACAGTCAGGCCTCCCGGGACTGTTGCTGCGGGGACCCGCCCTCTCCCGGCAGCCCCGTCTTCGGCCTGGGCCGGGACCACCCTCTTCCCCTCCCCAGCAGCGGGGCCTTCTGGACTCAGCCCAGGGCCTTCCCTTGCTGGCCTTCCTGGCCGTCAGTTTCCCGAGTAAGTCACTTTTTTTCCTGCCTCGCCGGCGCCCGTTGGCTGTACATATGTTAAACAGATGTGGTAGAGATGACTTTTGATATTAATGCTTCCCAACATACTGTGCATGGGCCAAAATGGGTTGTTACCTCTTGCAGGTAGAGCACTTGGGGCTTCAGTACACAAGTTCATCTGTGCTTCGCATCACACACATTCTCCTGGGACTCTGTACTCTAGTTTTGGGGTCTTACTGAGAGTGTCCCGAGTTTATTTTTCATACCCTCCTTCCCCCTAGAAACTGGTCAGAGTCTTCCCGCCCTGCAGGGCTCCATAAAATGACTGCCTTGTTCCTAAATTCAATCCGTTCCTCTGTCTGTTGGAACCATTTGGGGACTTTCCTTCCATTAGCAAAATATGCCTCAGTTTGGGGATATTTTCTGTTTCTCTATTGGCAAGGCAGTCCTTCTTGAACTCTTTGGATTCAGTGTTGGGTGTCTTCACAGCTGAGCCTGTGAATAGATGGCCTGTGGAGCTGGTTTTACTCAGTAAGCCAGAGAAGTGCCTGGAGGTGTTCTTTTTGTCACTTCTAAACTGAGTTGACCTCTTTGAAGTTTTGAGCTTCCTCCTTATTCTGTTAGCCCAGCTGTGGGCAGATGGATGTGTAAGAGTTAGGGAGTATTGTGTGGTTCTACCGTTTATTCTATTTTTTTCCCCTTTATTTTGAATAATATCTCATACACCCAAATACAGGATATGAAAAATGATGGCAAGTACATCTTTATATGTCACTTAACCTAAGAAATAGAGCATTACCACTCCTATAGATGCCTGCAGAGTGCCCCTTCCTGAACCACATCCCCTTCTTCTCCCTGCAAAGGTAGAAGAATTCTTCTGAATTGTTTATCATTTCCCTTGTCTTCTTTTTGATTATAGTTTTACTACACATATGCATCTCTGAGCAATTAATTTTTTAGTTTTGAATGTTTTTGAAGTTTATAGAAATGCTGTATGTGATTTTGTTTATTCACTCAAGCTTGAGAATCATCAGTGTTGTATGGTAGCTCTAGTTTTAAGTTCTAGTTTTCACTAATGGATAGTACTGTGTTGTATATCATAATTCTCTGTGAACAAACATTGAAGTTCTTTACTGTTTGTTAATATTAACAGTAATGCATAAATACTTTTGCCCAGGATTTGTGCTCTTGTGCAGAAATTTCTTTAGAGTGTATTTGTATGTAGGAGTGGAATTGCTGCTTGAAGGGTATAGATTTGGAACTTTACTGGATAATGTTAGACTATTTTCCACTTGCCCCTGCTACTCTTCATGCTCTTTGTGCTCAGCATTCACTGCACTGATTTATACTTTCTTTTTTCTCTGCCCTTCCTTTAGGGAAATCAGAAGCTGAATTAGTTTGGTTTGCTTTGGCCAGAGCCCTAGCACAACACCAAATTCAAGTGAGAGCTTAGTGTGTGATGGTGTGCCTCTTGGTCTTGAGCAGGCCTCTCTTTTTTCTGTAGACTTATCATGGAAGCATGTTAACCTACCTCTTCTAAGCGTAAAAGACCTGTGCCCCTTCTGCATGGGTCCATTGTTAGTAAAAGATGTTTGCCTTTCTTCCTTGACATCTGTCACTATGTTTGACTGTTGACATTTAGACAGTTGCCTTCTCTAGCTTGTTAGATTGAAAAGGCATGAACTGACTGGCAGAAAGTTTCTACAAAGTAGGGGGAGGGGACATGAATAAAATCACTGATTGCTGTTGATTTTTGGCCGACTGTAATAAATTATTAGCCCAAGAAACAGGTAGGCATTCTGTTGAACTGGGTAATTATTATGCTAACTTGGTGTGAGACTCATAAGCAGCTTGTTTTCTGGTATAGGGTACATGCAGCTGTGTCATGTTTACTAACCAGTCCTTGAGCTTGTCTCCTGTCCTGGTCTGACTTTATTTTCCATCCATCACTCTTGTGCCTCCCAACTCTGTGTGAAACACTTGCGCTCCTTGGAGTATGCTGCTCCATCTTCAGGATGGAAAACAACAACCCGTGGGAGAAAATGGCCTGCAATTGGCCCTTCCAAGTATTGAGTCATCTAGTGAATTTGAAATCTGGGTATACTTATTTATGTTGTTTAGAATATGTTGGCAATGTATAGCGCCTAGGACTAACATTCTTGTCTCGTGTAACTCCAGAGACACAAAGTGCCTATATGAACTATACGTACTTTCATATAAACCTGATGGTGGATCTGGATCTGGGTTAGGTGTGTATAAGAATGTGTGGGAGTTGGTCTCTACCTAGTGCAGGGAATGGGTGGTTGAACAATGGAGTTAGGAAGGTCACATTTCTTTTCTTAGTGCCTATGGAAATATCATTTGTTTTGGGGAAAAAAAATGCTGCTTCCTTTATTGGATATTTAAGTAAAAATGGGCATTGTGGTTGTTTCTCAGGTAAGTGTCTGCTCCTCTTTAACATTTAAATTCTCTCAGAATTTATACCATATATATATATATATATATATGTATATATATATATTTTTTTTTGGATACAGTGTCTTGCTTTATAGCCCAGGCTGGCCTTGAACTTGTGATCTTCCTGCCTTAGTCTTCTTGGCAGTCTTTTTTTTTTTTTTTTTTTAACTTTTTATAGATTGATAGCATACTTATAGTTGCTTTAAAGTGATTTATTTGTTCTGTGCATTGCCATTTTTAACATTTAAAAAGTAATTTTTTTCGCAGCATAGGGCTTGAACTCAGGGCCTCAAGCTTGTAGGGCATGTACTCTTACCACTTGAGTCACTCCACCAGCCCTCTTTTGTGTTGGGTATTTTTGAGATAGGGGCTTTCAAACTATTTACCTGGGGTTGGCTTCGAACCTGTGATCCTCCTGATCTCTGTCTCCTTGAGTAGCTAGGATTATTGGCATGTACCATTGAAACCTGGCAACAGCATTTTTATTTTTATTTATTTATTTATTTTTCAATTATTCATATGTGCATACAACACTTGGGTCATTTCTCCCCCCCGCCCCCACCCCCTCCCTTACCACCCACTCCGCCCCCTCCCTCTTCCCCCCACCCCCTCAATACCCGGCAGAAACTATTTTGCCCTTATCTCTAATTTTGTTGAAGAGAGAGTATAAGCAATAATAGGAAGGAACAAGGGTTTTTGCTAGTTGAGATAAGGATAGCTATACAGGGAGTTGACTCACATTAATTTCCTGTGCGTGTGTGTTACCTTCTAGGTTAATTCTTTTTGATCTCACCTTTTCTCTAGTTCCTGGTCTCCTTCTCCTATTGGCCTCAGTTGGCAACAGCATTTTTAAAAACAAGGTTAACACATATCCATGACTAGAAATTCAGTAAGTATAGAAGCATGGTCTGTGAAAGGGAAATGCTGTGGTCCCATCCCTGTTTTCACTCCACAGAGGAAATCACTGTGAAACACAGTTGCTTTTAAAACTTTAGTACTAGAAGGCAGCTCTGCTGTTGTTCCTTTTATGAAATTCTAGCTTTAGGAGCTGGCATTGTTTTCCCTTTTGGGTAAGTCATCCTCCTCTACTGTGCCCAGTCTGGCATGGATGGTATGGTGTTGTGGAGAACAGGTGGCATATTTGATGTTAAAGGAAGGATGTCAGGGTTTCATTGTTGTTGCCTTCTCTTCAATCTTTGTATGGTGAGATTTTCCCTCACATTCTTTTCCCTCTTTGGGTTGTTACAGTATGAGAGGAAGAAAAATTATTAAATTTTACCAGCATACAAAATTTCCTCAGTGCTATAAAAGTGATTATTAGGAGATGACACGTGCTCTGCTGTACCACTCACAAACCACATTAAATTTGTTCTTCAATCCAGACCGCCTTTGCATGTCCATATCTAAATGTGGACCTAGGGAAGGAGTTCAGTTATCAGTCACATTTCTTCCTGGAACATGTATTTTAAAAAAAAGGGTTCTGAGGTTAACCCTTATTAGTCAAAAGTGTTAGAGCCAAGGGAGGTGGCCACAGCTGAGCTGACATGATTGGCCTGTAGCAGAAGTGTTACTTGCATGAAAGCACTTGGGGCAAATGCCTCTCTAACACAAAAACACTAGGCAAGCCAGGCTCTCTCACTCTGTTCCTACTGTATAGTAGGAAATGCTCCTGTACCTTAGTCTTTTCAGCCATGATTGGGAATACTTTTACTTACCTATAGAGCTATGGGAGCAAGTATTTCTTAAGTGATAGACATAAAGTAAATGTAATTGATAAAATAAGAGAGAACTGGCGAAATGTCTGTTACCTCCCCTTCATTAAAAATCTTAAAAGCATATTTATGCCCTAAGAGATTTGAATTTGTCCTAATAGAATATCCTCCCTATCGGTAATATTATCCATTGTCCCTGTCGAAGTTCAGATTCCTTTGACAACAATTAAGTATATATTTTAAAATACTGAGAGAGAATTTTGAATGTTCTTAACACAAAGAAATGGAAAAATGTTGAAGGTGATAAATATACCAATTACCCTGATCCAGGGCTGGAGACATGACTCAGTGGTTGAGTGCCAGTTACCCTGATCTGATCATTACATTACACATTGTATACATGTACTAAACTACTATGCTGTGACTCATAAATAAGTATAATTTATGTATGTCAATTAAACATTTCAAAAATCTGTAATTCTAGCTACTCTGTAGGTGTAGA